GACTTGCCTAAAAATGAAATCAAGACGAGTCAACAACCTACTAAAAGGAAAGCACACCCTATCAGAATCAAGGAAGATTGATTTGCATCAAGAAAGGATGACTTTTCTAAAGATGGAAACAAGTTAGCACACGCTTATCCTAGTCACTATTTCATCTTGTAAAAATATTGTATTTAATGTAGTTAACTAGTGAAAAGAAAAGAAAAGGAGAGATTAGAAAACTATACGAGCAGAGGATGTTACCAAAAAGTGAACTGTAATCTTTCATGTCAAGGAGTTCACAATAGGCTATTTGTCTAATCAGAAACATTCAAGCTCTAAGGACACCAAGGGGACTGGATTAGGCACCTCTTCGGTGAGTCGAACAAGAATAAAAATATTTGTATCAATTGTGTCTTTTATCTCTTTACACCTTATATAATATGTTTTTTATCTAATCGTCTAAAATGTAGGGTAGTTGACTTGGAAAAATCAACAAATGTATATTTTTGTGTCCTGAAATAAACAATACTTATAGAAAGAGAACCACATTTGCACATACTAAAATGTCCTGCTTAGATACAAATATTTAAGTCAAAGTAACAGATCAACACAAACAAGATAATAAGAAGACAGAGAAGTTATCAGTGCTATCCACACAACTTTCCTTTTTGGATGTATCTTGAATGCAGACTCCTTTCGTAAGCTGATATGATTATCAAATTGGTCATTCTGGTAACTGTAAACCTCAAATGGAAAAAAGATAGCATCATAAGGAAAAAAAGTACATCTTATCAATTAGCTATACCTTTGCCTTGATTGATTCAATACGGTGCATCAACTCTTTTCCACTTCTTTTTTGTGAGCCACGCAAAATACAAATGCCAACATTCAAAATCTTTACGATGTCAGCATGAGAAGCAACAGATGTGCAGGTGTTTAAAAGCTTCAGAGCATGTGGAACCAAATCCATCCTTGAATCACAGTATCGACATAAATACTGTGCATCCAAATTGATGCTTCCTCCAATTGTCCCAGTCATGTAAACTCGTAGAGCACAGCCTAGATGGGAAACATGTCCACATATGTAGCCATCTACTTTTGCTTCACATCAAATGTAACTGTACCCTTCATAGTCTGAACTGATAGTTTTGCAGCAAAGGATACAGCAACAGTTTCGGCAAAAACCAGGCTCAATACAACAAATATCACAAAGAATGGCTAGAAAAGGATTTTTTGTTGTTAAACTGCATCATATTTTGTTACCACCCTTACAAGTAATGGCTCTTATAGGAGAATCAGACATTAAAGACTACAATTATTTCCCTGAATATGTACTCCTCTCATTTATATCTGAGTCAAAATCAATATCTAATTAAAAAAAAACAAATTTGGCATCAGGTCAATAAAAAGATGTAGTAAGTGTTTTTTTTAATTGATTCAAAGAACCGAATAAATATCTACATGTTATATACCAAAGAGACCCGTCGAAGCTAACCTTTTGAGCTTGGCAACTACTTCGAAGGAATCATCCAACTAAATAGGGCAAAAAATTGGTTTATATCCATGTCAGGATTCTCAAACTGCAGATACTCTTTAACTGAAATCTTACTTCAAAAAGCATTTTTCTTTCCACCTTTTGGAGCCTTAAAATGCTTCGGAAGATACAAATATCTATCTTGAAAGGTACCTAAACTTGTTTCTCTTTTCCCTTCCCGCCAGCCCCACTTATCACCAGCATTTGGCCAATCTACAGGAGCATATGGTAAGCCTTCGCCAAAGTCATACTCAGAAACTTGATAAAGTTGAAGCCCAATTTCATTGATTCTAGAAGCATTTCCATTATAAACAACATGTGCACGACTCTCCCCAACCTCCTCCTTGGCATACATTTAGCTAGAAATCTCTAACTCTATTGATACCATGGAAGTCTGAAACCATAGAAAAATAATGAAATGTCAGAAGTCCACAGTAGAAAGCAAACCATTTTTGGCTATAAAAAATTGGAAAAACACCAACTAAAGAAGAAAAGACAAAATTGGGCATATTCTTCAGGAAAACAAGATAGCTAATTTTCGACCTGAAGAAGTTATGCTTCAGATGAAGATAAATGTTAGACCTTTCAGCATGAGATACAAAAACACTCTCCTCCCAAGGAAACATCAAAGTTGATCACAAGAATGTTTGTGTTTAATGCAGCATGCTTGACATAAATACCTAAAGTTCAAAGCCACCTTTTGTGTGAAATTATTACTAAGATACTTAGAACAATAATTTTCAAGAACTTGGTAAGAAACAACAAAATTTAAAGAATATTTTCAAAACTAGAAACTTAAAACCAGTAAAGAAAATAGAATCTGAAACAAATTTAAAATATTAAAAAAAATATTTTCTCAAAAAAAAGAAAATTGAGCCCACTAAATGCACAATGTTTTCTTAAGGAAATTAGTCCCCTCAAGTACCCAAGTTTAATGGAATATATCCTCTCATAACAGAATAATCTTACTCACCGGTGTATCGATACTTAAAATCACGATGTCAAGAAACCACTCAACAAAAGTAAAGTACACTTAGAATACTAGATTTAGTAGAAAAGAAAGAAGTTCAAAATTTTGTTATTGAAAAATATGTGGAACCCCTCTATTTATAGTAGTATAGCTAAAGGCAGTTTAACTGGATTGACTATGCTCACCATTCATCAGTTTAAACTTGCATTTCCCCCCTTAGAAAATATGGTTCCACTTCAAGCCCAGTAAGAAGAACCACAAGCACAATAACAACAATATCTTGATATATCAGCCTAACTGAAACGCTCCAGTAAATCATAGTAGTTTACCTAAAGGCAGAACCAAATAACACATATTGTTAGCTCTATTAACTTTATGTTATAATGATGAAACTAATCCTAAATGATCAGAGAAAAAAAAGATACATCCAAAATCTGTGAAAAGAAAGCATAAATCTAAAGAAGGAAGGAAGTCACACACAACTAGAATTAAGGAAGATTGATAAACGATTGTACCAAAATCGAGGAGATTGACTCGTGTAAAAATGAGATCAAGACGAGTCAACAATCTACTAAAAGGAAAGCACACCCTATCAGAATCAAGGAAGATTGATTCACATCAAGGAAAAATGACATTCCTAAAGATGGAAACAAGTTAGCACACTCTTATCCTAGTGACTATTTCATCTTTTAAAAATATTGTATTTAATATAGTTAACTAGTGAAAAGAAAAGAAAAGGAGAGTTTAGAAAACTATACGAGTAGAGGATGTTACCAACAAGTGAACTGTAATCTTTCATGTCAAGGAGTTCACAATAGGCTATTTGTCTAATCAGAAACATTCAAGCTCTAAGGAAACCAAGGGGAATGGATTAGGAACCTCATCGGTGATTCGAACAAGTATAAAAATCTTTGTATCAATTGTGTCTTTTATCTCTTTAAACCTTATATAATAAGTTTTTTTATCTAATCGTCTAAACTGTAGGGTAGTTGACTTGAAAAAAATCAACAAATGTATATATTTCTGTCCTGAAATAAATAATACCTATAGAAAGAGAACCACATTTGCCCATACTGAAATGTCCTACGCTGATACAAATATTCAAGTCAAAGTAACATATCAACACAAACAAGATGATGAGAGGGCATAGAAGTTACCAGTGCTATATACACAGCTATCCTTTTTGGATGCATCTTGAATGCAAACTCCTTTCGTCTGATATGATTATAAAATTGGTCATTCTGGTAAAACCTCAAATCGAAAAAAGATAGTATCATAAGGGAAAAAAGTACAATTCTTCAATTAGCTATACCTTTGCCTTGATTGATTCAATACGATGCAACAACTCTTTTCCACTTCTTTTTTGTGAGCCACGCAACATACAAATGCCAACATTCAAAATCTTTTTGATGTCAGCACGAGAAGTAGTAGATGTGCAGGTGGTTAAAAGCTTCCAAGGGAACCGAATCCATCCTTGAATCATAGTACCGACATAAATACTGTACATCCAAATTTATGCTTCCTCCAACTGTCCCAGCCATGTAAGCTCGTAGAGCATAGTCTAGATGGGAAACATGTCCACATATGTAGCCATCTACTGTTGCCTCACATAGAATGTAATTGTACCCATCATAGTTTGAACTGATAGTTTTGCAACAAAGGATAAAACAACAGTCTCGGCAAAAACCAAGCTCAATACAACAAATATCACAAAGCATGGCCAAAAAAGGATTTTCTACTGTTAAACTGCTACAGATTTTGGTACCAGCCTTTCAAGTAATGGCTCTTATAAAAGAATCAGACAGTCAAGACTGCAATTCTGTCCTTGAAGATGTAGTCCTCTCTTTCATATCTGATTCAAAATCAATATCTAATAAAAAAAAACAAATTTGGCATAAGATCAATAAAAAAATGTGGGAAGTGTTTTTTAATTGATGCAAAGAACTGAGTAAATATCTGCATGTTATATACCAAAGAGACCTGTCGAAGCTAACCTTTTGAGCATGGCGACTGCTTCAAAGGAATCATCCAACTAAATGAGGCAAAAAATTGGTTTATATCCATGTCAGGATACTCAGACTGGAGATACTTTTTAACTGAAATCTAACTTCGAAAAGCATTTTTCTTTCCACCTTTTGGAGCCTTAAAATTCTTTGGAAGATACAAATATCTATCTCTAAAGGTGCCCGAACTTGTAACTCTTTTCCCTGCCCGCCAGCCCCATTTATCACCAGCATTTGGCCAATCTACAGGAGCATATGGTATCCCTTCGCCAGAGTCATACTCAGAAACTAGATAAATATGGAGCCCAATTTCATTGATTCTAGAAGCACTCCCATTATATACAACATGTGCACGACCCTCCCTAACCTCCTCCTTGGCAGACATTTAGCTGGAAATCTCTAACTCTGTTGATACCAAGGGAAGTCTAAAACCATAGAAAAATAGAGAAATGTCAGAAGACCACAGTAGAAAGCAAACCATTTTTCGCTATAAAATATTGGAGAAAAACACATGGAGATTAATACGAAGTACAAGGAGGTTGATAGAGAACCATTCAATGATCCAACATTGTATCGGAAGTTGGTGGGATCATTAGTTTATCTCACTATGACAAGACCAAACATCTCATATGCAGTACAAGTTCTAAGTCAGTTTGTGGTTAATCCTTACCGTATACATCACACTGCATTACTTCGTGTCATTCGATATGTTCGTGGTTCTATGATTCAAGGTGTTCTTTTTCGTTCTGATTCTTCTATACATCTTGAAGGATATATTGATGCAGATTGGGCTGGTTGTCCTAATTCTCGTCGCTCTGTTACTGGTTGGTGCATGTTTCTTGGCATATCCTTTATATCTTGGAAATGTAAGAAATAGTCCCGTACATCTAAATCATCTACAGAGGCTGAGTATCGTGCTATATCGGCTGCAAGTTCAGAAATTGTTTGTCTATGACGACTATTATCTGAGCTCAGTGTCGCTATTACATCTCCTACAATGCTACATGTTGATAACACTAGTGCGATTAAAATAACCACAAACCCGGTGCAACACGAAAACACAAAGCATATAGAGGTGGACTGCCATTACATTCGAGAATTGATTATCGATCGTCTCATCACTCTACAATACATTCTTTCTCATGATCAACTTGTTGATTTGTTTACAAAGGTAATGACATAAGCTTGACATCAATATCTTATCTCCAAATTGCTACTTTGTGATCACCGGTATCAATTTGATTGGGGGGGGGGGGTGTTAGGAAAAACTATAATTGTATAGTAATAAGAAAATATATTCTTTCTTAGAATATGACTGATTTACAGAATATACATTTATAACCATATATACTCCTTCCTAGAATAGAACTCTAACCCTCCAATTGTATAGCTATAAATATTTTCTTTCTACTTTATCATTGATGAATAGAGAAAACTATTTTTCAGAATATTTTTTGTCTCTCTAGCAATATACTCTAGTGATACCAAATTTGGAGCATTGATAATATCCAACATAGGGTACGCTTCCCCAACGTCTAAATAGTACAAGTGTTCAAGAGTTGGGGCGTCAATTTTAACACGCTGGTTTCTAAATGTCTTAATAGTAACTGACTTGATCCTTTGAAGATTCAACAACTAAATATTTTCCAACCCATAACAATACTCAAGGACGAGATTGACAATCAAAGAACATCTATTAAGTAGTGTCTGAAGCATGTTATCGTCTAAACTTATAGAAGAAAGACAAAGCTTTCTCAATGAATTGTAGTTCGCCACACCACCACTAGATAACGAAACGTGCTTCAAATTAAAACCCCTCAGAACCAATTCTCTTAAAGATTTTGCTGCCAAGATTGTGAAAATAGGTAAGGTGTATGATGTATACCGAGGAACTCCAAATACGATATCTTTTGCACCAAATACGATATCTTTTACGCTGTTCTGAAGTGCAATGTGAAGCCACTTATCAAACAAAGGGAAAACTTCATCAGAATAACTAGAGTTTGATAATTCAAACTTTTCTATAGGGATTTTTCCATCCCGATATCTCTCTATGATGCTATCCACTTTTTTCATATTACCATTAAGATAATCAACTCTGAATTCCAAATTGGGATGAGTCGACCAGGCTCGTAGCCATGTTTTGGAGAGAATGCTCATCTTGGTTGCTTCTTTGAAACTGAGAAAACAGAGTATTTTGTGAATGAGACAATCAGGCAATATGTCAGATGTGGCTTTCATCATGATTAGTTGGTTGATCTCTCTGAAAAAATTATTAGGGTTTGTCATATTAGGTGATTCTTGAATTTATAGCTTCGTTAAAACATATTTCAAACGTTTGCATAATTTATTCTCTTTTTCTTAATTGCTTAAATATGTCCCCTGACTTTTCCAATTGACACATATTATAGGGATAAATGGTCTCTAATGTACCCTAAACTTTGAGATTTATAACTAATATACCCCATATTATAAAAATAACTCATATATATCCCTAGTGTTACACATCCGTTTTAGCTTGGTTACCAAACAGTGCAAAACAGTCACTTGTAATTGAATACCCTGTGCCTACCGTTCCTACATCCTATCGTTCCTCCAATATCATGTGTGTGGTCCAGAGGAGGTTTGTGAGATCAATGCTCTTTAACAAGATCAACAACAGGTGCAAAATTCGAACAAGCAACATACCTGGTGGCTTCTGGATCATGTCCCTTCACCAAAATTTAATAAGTCCAACACAATCACTTCCAATCTAATTTGAACCGACAGTATAATGAAAATGGTATATTTGAACCAAAAGTAGAACGAGAGGGGTATATCTCTTGCTTTCCTGATTAAATTTGTAGGCTTTTTTACTTTTACTTATTTTAGTTGACTAAGCCAAGACTTGCTTCCATGAGAAGTAGAATGACTCAAATTCTTCATATACATTAATCGATTAATGAAACAACATTAGAGTAAAACTGAAACAGCAATAGTTGACATATTGCATGAACCTGTTATTCACAAAATACTCTGTTATCTTAATTATATAGAAGCAACACAAATGCGAATTCTCTCCAAAATATGGCTACAGGCCTAGTTGACTCATCCCAACTTGAAATTCGCAGTTCGTTCTACTCATGAAAATATCAAAATAGTGGATAAGATTATTGAGAGATACAGGGATGAGAAAATCTCAATTGACAAGTTTGAATTTCTCATTTTTGCAAGATCTGAGGGTGCTCTGTCCCCTTTTATTAATAAGTGCCTTGGTATTGCTCTTTAGAATGGTGTAAAAGATATAGTCTATAAAAATTATACACATCTTTCATCATACCCCTTCCCTATTTTTAAATTTCGGGCTTCAAACTCTTTAAGAGAACTGGTCTTGACTGAGTGTGATCTTTCATTATCTGCTAGTCATGTGGCGATTTGTCATTCTTTGAGAAAGCTTTCTTTATCCTAGGATACTCAACATATCATAAACAATCAAAATGATTATATGTTTCATCGACCGATTAATGTATATGAAGAATTCGATTCATTCTACTTCTCATGGAAGCACCTCAACTTAGTCAATTAAAAGAAGTAAAAGCTTACAAATTTGATGGGTAGAATGAGAGTTGGCATCTTGTGGAACTCAGAAGTAGGGAGCTGAAAATAGGGGACCTTTACAAATTGAATGCAATAGAATTCACAAACACTTGGCAATTCCTCGATGACATTATATTTAAATCTAAAACATCCTGCATATGAACACGGTCTTTGATATACCCTAAACTTTGTGATTTATAACTGATATACCCCTTATTATAAAAATAACTCATATATACCCTATCGTTACACAATTAACCCATATATACACTATTCATAATCAAAGTATAAAACTCCTTCTATCAATTTATTTTGGTACGCAAGATAAGGTTAGATATCTAGGATTAAAATACCGTATAAATTTTTTATCCCGACATAATCTTAGAATTATTATTAAGTATTATATTGAGGCTCTAGAGGATATGTTGAGGACCTGTGTTATCAATTTCAAGGGTAATTGGGATGATCACTTAGCTCTCATTGATTTTGCTTACGACAACAGTTATCACTCTAGAATCCAGATGGCTCCTTATAAGGCTCTCTATGAGAGAAGATGTAGATCTCATATTGGTTGGTTTGAGGTTGGTGAAGTTGGGTTGATAGGATCAGACTTTGTTCAGCAAGCTATGTAGAAAGTGAAGATCATTCAAGAAAGGTTGAAAATAGAGCAAAGTCGTCAGAAATCCTATATCGATGTTAGGAGAAGAGACTTGGAGTTTGAGGTGGATGATTGAGTATACTTGAAGGTGTCACTCGGATGTTATGAGATGTGATAAGAAGGAGAAGCTTAGTCCCCGGTATATTGGTCCTTACAAGATATCCAAGAGGATTGGCAATGTAGCCTATGAGTTGGAGCTACCGTTAGAGTTAGCAGCAGTCCATTCGGTGTTTCACATTTCCATGTTGAAGAAATATATGGGCGATCCTTTACTCATTATACCTACTGAAAATATTGGTATTAAGGACAACATATCTTATGAGGAGATACCCGTTGAAATACTTGATCGTCAGTTTCGCAAGTTGAGAACCTAGGAGGCTGCATTAGTCAAGGTCCTATGGAGGAATCAGTTTGTTGAAGAAGCTACTCGGGAGGCTGAGGAGGATATGAAGAAGAGATACACACAACTCTTCTCTTCCGGAGAAATTCCATACCAAGGTAATGACTTTTTGTAAAACACTTTTTAAGTTGATATGCTATGTTGTGAAAAATTATATGTTGGTGTTTGACCTGGGTGTTAGATGATGCCACCCTTAGTTCTACTTAGAGTGATCTCATTTGAGGACGAATGTTCCCAAGGGGGAGATATTGTAACACCTCGATCTTAGAAAGAGCTATTTTTAGAAAGAACTAAATTGGAAAGAGTTAATTTGAGTTTTGGGTCAACTCCAAACGACCATAACTTTCGGTACATGATGATTAAGGTGGCCCATAAGGTATTCAATGAAAGGCTTCTGATTCCTTTATCCAACGCCACGAGTTTGCTAAGTTTCGAGTTCGGATGAGGGAGATATGCCCGTTTGAGTTTAGCCTGTCCAATTAAGAAAAATTCATCTGAATTAAAGAGGGGTATTTTGGTATTTTCCTTGCCCCAATATCTTTAAACATTTTTAGTAATATTTTTGGGGTATAAATTGACTTAGATCAGTTTTCACAATTCTAAAATATGCTTAGGGTTTTAGAGAAAAATTTAATAGGAAGAAGAAAGGAGAATATTCGAACGTTCAAGGTTTTCTTGCAAATCGTCGAGGGATTTCGCCAAGGATTTGGTCCTAACGAGGTATTTAAGTTTTCGTAGTGATGAGTTCATTCACACACACTCCAATCATGAGTTTCTTTTACGAATTTCATCCATAAGATTGGGTATATTAAGTTCTTGATGATTCTCTTGAAGTTTGTGGTTCATTCTGTGATATGAGGTTTCGTTGAGTTCTTGCAATGAGGATCTTGTGGTTCAGTATTGTTCTTGAGTAATTTAGTGTGGATTTCATTGTAATTATGTTGGGTCTAAGAATCTAAAAGAGTTTGAGGGAAACCGTTCGATTCTAGGGGAGTTAGAGATGAAATTGAAGCAAGAAAACTCATCAAAACCTCGGTATAGGGGTGGGGCGCCACGCCACTCAGTGAACCCCAAACCACTTTCTGTAGCTTAGGGGTTGGTGCCCTGCGCCACTCAGTACGACAGGTCCCTACCCTACCGTCCTTCTTTCCGTGTGCGTTCCCTCGAATCGTACTTATGTTATCTACTTGATATCCATACTTAAAATCTTCATTAAACCTTGAGAGATCATGCATATCCAAGTCATAGCTCTTAAATTCATAATTCAAATTCAAGATAGAGTTAAGAGTAAAGTTCGAGGAAGTTCTTTGAGTCAATTGATAAGTCTTTTTGCAAAACTTTTAAACTTGTTTTAAGACTTGAGTACTTGAGTATGAGGATAAAGAGAGTTGAGTTTCATTTTTCAAAATGAATATATGGGAACTAAGTATTCCCAAGAGTAAATGTTTTTACATTTAACATCAGAGGAAACATCGATTTCCAAATGAGTTCATGAGGAGTTTTTGAGTATAATCTCTTTAAAGAGAACCTTTTGAGTAATAATCTCAAAGTTTGAGGACGAGGAAATGGTTTTAAACATATGAGCATGAGTTATACTATTGAGAGTAGTATTGAGCACCAATATGGGGACGAGTTCAGACAACTCAAAGTCCCCACAAACCATGTATGCCAACGTGGGTAGAAAGGGTCATACTTTTTAGATGATTCCTTATTGCTTTTTAAGCATAGCTTAATGGATCCACTTAGTTGACGCTGTCTTATACTCCGGCAAGGTATAGGACAATTTTGGAAGTATGGCGAGATGTTGTATCATCACATAGTTCATAGTGATGGTTGTCGGTTAGAGAATCTCCTAAATAAGAGTAAAAGACTTATTATTGTATTTTTAAATAAATTTAGTTACTATCTACTGTTTTAAAAACTTTCTTTATAATGCATCTTTATTTTTGCTTTTATTTTGAACTGAGTTAAGTAATTCTGAGATTGAGTATCCTTGAATTGAGTTGAGTTGAGGTGAGTATGTTCTTCATTGTTATTAGTTCAAGATTATGTCTGTGCTTTAGAGTTCCCCTTGCATGCTCGTAGATTTCATGTACTGACATCATTTAGCTTGCATGTTTTATGATGTAGATACAGGAGTTCAGGGTCATCAACAGACGCACCGTTGATATAACATACAGTTCTAGAGTTGCTTTGGTGGTTCTCCTTGCTTCCAGAGGATTCCCATTTACTTTTAGTTTTGTTAGGATATCATGGGTCTTGTCCCGACCTCCATCATTGTCATTAGAGGCTTCATAGATAGTAGTGTTTTGAGTAGTCTTTTCCATTTCTTTTGTTAAATGTTTAAGACATGAGTTAAACAGTTATGTTATTGAACATTTCAGACTATATTGTACTAAACTAATTTTAGTAATGATGTCTTTATGAGTTAAGTTATATTTGAGGTTTCTTTATTCTTGAATAAGCCTTCCGCTAAGATTTGAGCCAGGCCAAGGGTTCGCTTGGGGCCAGCAATGGTTCTCGAGTGCCGATCACATCCAGGGTGTAGGCTCGGGGAGTGACAATGTCTATGACAATTCTTTGTGCGATTGAAAATGTCACTATCCTTTC